AGGGCCAGTGGCTCAAGTACTCGCGTACTTCTTTCCGGAACGCCTGATAGACAGACAATGCGGTGTTTGGTTTTCTTTGGTTTTGTTTTGTCGGGATATACAGGGTGATAGGATTGGAGCTGGCGTAGTGCAGCTGAGCAGTAGGAGTTCGACAAGGCCTCCAACCCCTAAACCTTTTGCATGATAATCTTACGATAAGCTATTATCATCGAATATATGATCCCAAAAGCTCAAAGCCCTCAAACACCAGAAAGACTTACGACCGCCCGAAACCTCAAGGCCCTCAACACTCAAAACAAGCCTCCCATACACCTGCAGGGCTCTCAGGGCTTGGGAGGGCTTAGGGGCTTTTAGGGTTTAGGAGGGCTAAGGCTTCTAAACCCGAAGGCCTTACATTGAGGATTGCTCTTCTCCGGTATTTTACAAGGACACCCCCGCACATACATTCATAAATTCCAAGGGGGAACCAAAGCCAGAATACCAAAAGCCCCCAGCAGCGATGTCCCAGAGCCTCCTGGTGGAGGGTTTGCTGGTGCGCGCGGCCGACGAGGAGGCCATCCGGGGATCCCTCTGCACGCGCGTGCAGAGGGCGGGTTGGCATTGAGAGATGCCCTGCTGTGGTAGAAGGATGGCCCTGTAAGCCCTCAGATGTTCTGTTCATGAATAAGAAACGCTTAAAGACCAACACGAGGGAAACATTTTTCAACATACCAAGCAAGGGACCTGGCCCAAGCCCCCCTTCCCCTATCCGGAGTGGTTCGGGCTTTGGGGTTTAAGGCTTTCAATGTGCTTCGTGCTGGCTTGTACTGACACTCCGTGCTTCATGCCCACGACAACATTTTTTGGGGCCATAGCCTCCTAGAACAGGTGGAGTGCTTAGAAAGCAGACGTGGCTTCGGGCTTAAGCAGTTTCGGGCTGCCTTCTCCGCAGCCTTCCCTCATTCCCACTGCAACTTTGTCATGCTTGTCTTCATTGCGCCGACCACCTCGCCACGAAGCGACCGGATGGTGTCGCCTTTTGCCTAAAGCTCTAAAGTCCGAAGGGCCATCGAAACTCTAAGGACCCTGAGTCCCAAAAGGAAAGCCGCAACCTGGAAAGCCCCAAAAGCCCCCGAGAAGCAGACCCTCAATCCTCAACCCGACTTGGGGGTTCATGTGTAATTATAAGCAGGGTTATAGGTATGGTAACTAGGGTACTTATAACCCTACTTATAGCTACCCATGGACCTCCAAGTAAACCCTGGTGCGGTCCTCCAGGAGGCGCAAGTTGTCCGGGAACGTCTGGCCAATGATCATCAAGGTCGCTTGTAGGGTGTGAGGGCCTATGGTTAGAATTTATTGCTTGTAGGGTTTGGAGGGTCATTGGGTGTAGGGCTTATGGAAAGTCTTGTTGCGCGCTTCTTGCCGCCCATTCAGTTTTGAGGGTTTAAGTGCTTATGGTTTTGGCGTGCTTCAGGTTCTAGGGCTTCTGGGCTTCGGGTTTGCGGGTGGGCTGAGGGTTGACGATTCAGACTTTGGGGCTTTTTGGCTCGGGTTCAGGACTTGGGGTTTTCAGTTTAGAACTCAGTCGAATTTGCGGTTGAGAGTTTTCTGGTTATCCACTTGAAGCCCGAAACCCTGATTCCTCAAAAGCCCTCGCCCTTTCAATGCACCAAATTTGGCCGAAGCTTCCAAAGCCCATGTCCGACAACCAATCGCCCCCACAACCCCAAACCCTAAACTCGTAACCCTAAACCCTAAAACCCCAAACCCTAAACCCTCAACCCTGGCCCTTCGAATCGAAGCCACGTGGGGTAAAGAGCTGAGGATGCAGGATGGATGAGATAACGTGACCCCAAAAAAAAACAAACAACACCCCAGAAGAGCTCAACCCAACCCCCCTAGAAACCCTCAAGAGCCGCAAGAAGCCTAAAGATTGGGCTTTCCCCCGTACACTAACAGTCCTTAATGGGCATTATAGCCCCCCCTATTGTCATCCCTGTTCAGGACTGTTAGTATAAGGGGAAACATCCCAACCTAAAGAGCCTCAAAAGCCACCAAAAACACGAGCCTGTCGAACCGCCGAGCCGCCAAGCTCGAGCCAGAAGGGCGCAGCAGCCTTGCACGGTTTAGGGTTTTTGGGCTTGGGGTTTAGGGTTTACTTGGAGGTTCATGGGACTTAATAACCACTTATAACTGGGCTTATAACCCTACTTATAATTGGGATAACCCCTATAAGGCCTTTCAGGGGTATTACAAGTAAGGGTTATAAGTACAGCTATAAGTGGTTAGTAAGTACCATGAACACCTTCAAGTAGGGATTGAGTGAGCCACTATGCATACACAATGTGCAGTAAGTACAAAGTTAGAATTTGCAGAATTTGATCTGAGTACAAATACGAGAACATGCATTTCACTTCTATATGGACTTTATACTCATGTCTTATACCCGTAGTCATAATTTCTAGACTTTACATAGAGACGCCAAAAAGAAGTAAGTGCATATGTAAACAAAGCCAACATGTATTCATGCAAATGTCTCTCTCATAAACAAACGAAGCAATCTATATACACAGAATACATGTGTGCATTAAATAAATTACTGAGTCAGCAAACAAATTCACACAAGAATCTGCCCCTCTCTCTATTTATATTTATACATATACATATATATATATACACACGCATAAATCTGCATACAGAGACATACCAAAAGATGCATACTAGTAAAAGTATCTGCCTCTGTATAAGTGCAGAAATACACCGAAACGACATACCCAAACCAAATTCTTCAATCCCGACGCAACCAGACAAACTTCCCAAGCCCCACAATTCACCACGCCCCTATCCCGTCCCAAAAGCCCCTAAACCTACACTTCCTCATCGCAAGAGACAACCACCAAGTGTGAAAGTTACAAAGCGGGGACCCTTACATAAGAATAGCATGTCGCAAAGAAACGTAGAGGTATGTAATTCAGGCTTACGTAAGGCCGTGATAAGAAGAGATAAGGGCGAGACTATTTGGGTGATTCGTACTCCAAAGCCGCCTCCGCCAACGTGCGCTCCATCCCACAACCCCTAAAAAACCCAGCCTTAAGACCCCAAAGCCCCAAAGGCCTTGCGACCTCCTTCGCCAGGAGTCGCCCTCTTCCCTTCGGCACCTCCCAGGGCCTGCTGAGACTTTCTTGGTGGCTGGCAGTGGCGGGATGCTTGTGTTCAATATGCAGAAGTAGACACATCAACAATTACATATTCTGAACACGTTCACATGCTACTCCTGCATACATATGTATAGATATAGATAGATAGATATATATATATATATGTATGCATCTGCAGAAAGAATCAAATCCCAAACCGTAGCCGCCAAGCCCCCTGAACACCTGAACTCAGCGGCGCACCTCTAGCAAAGGCTCCGTCGGAGGCTTTTCGGGACTTCGAGCCTCCAAGCAGCTTTTGACTGGGCTTCGGAGTGTTCAGGGTTTAGGGTCTTTAGGGTTTAGGGTTCAGGGTTTAGTGTTTAGGCCTGTGCATGTAGACGGGCTTTCGGCTTCCGGCCTCAGAGGTCGAGGGGTTTAGGGGGGGCTTGGTGCCTTTCATTCTAAAATCAAACAGGGCTTGGCTCTTGATTGTTTGGGATTTCTTCTTGCCACCCGAACAAACAGATACAGCCCTAACAAAAAGACCCTAAACCCTAAACCCCCGAAAGCCCAAAGCCTACGAAAGCCTAAACCCTAAACCCAAACTTCCACCTTAAGCCCTGCACCCTCCACCCGAGAAACTTTACCAAGAAGGACCTACCTTTGAGCCCCATTTCAAGCTTAGTTTAGTTCCAAGACCTTTAACTTTGACCCTAGTTGCAGCTACCCTAAAGCTCAACACGCTGCGATGCTTAGGCCTGAGATGCAATGACCATACGAAGGGATGCTGTGTCCAGGGCCGTGTAGACCGAACCGCATGTTCGCGTCCTTCTTTTCCTTGTCTTCTTGCGTGGTGACGAGTTCATTCTGCGTGCTTGCATCCAATGGGCTAACACGAGCAGTTTGCTCGCTTGCATCCATTCACGCCGTGGGCTAACGCTGAGCCGACTGAAATGGGAACTGGAGGAGGTTTTGTTTTTTCAAACCTCATGCTAAAGACCCCACGAGTTACATCAGGCAAGATGCCACAGAGATGTCGCAGCAGGCCATCTGGTGCGCCTCACAGAAGGATAAGTTTCGGTGGCTCCTGTGGGTACTCGGGCAATGGCCCGACACCCCAAACCTAAACCTTAACCCTGCACGTCTACAAACAGGGTTCTGCCAAGCTCAGGGAGGATCCATCGGTGCTTCGCTTGCCCTGCACCCCTTGTCAAAAGGTAGCTGATCGTTGCATGCAGTCCTAATTGCTGTGGAGAGCCGCGACGGAAAGCGTTGGCCAGTGACTTGTACACGCCTTGTAGCATCTGATAATTCGCTAAACCCGACTACATGTTGTCGATCGCTAGCATGAAAAGATACAGCTGGCCCTGGCTGCTGGGTCCAACAGGGAGTGAAGTGACTGCCTATGCCTAATGCGACTCACCGTGGAGTCGCGGCTCTATCGGAAGTCAGCGTGGTTCCGCCGCCATTGTCGTAAAAGGGCAGCTGCGCACAAAGACAAAAGAATTGACTTTGGCGTTGTAATACACATGTACAAACGTAGTGAGGAGAATCAATACAAACAAGCATATACGTGTACACACGTGCTGTCAAAATGTATCAGTACAATCTAGTTATATGTAATGCTTTAGAGTTTCTGCCTTCTTATAATCGCATCATAGCCCAACACTGTGACATACTGCGATAAGCAACACGCACATCCTCCGGCGTGTCATCGGGTTGGACATGGGCCCTACGACCTGAATTTTCTACGTGCGGGTTTGGGCTCTCTCAGAATATGAAGTTCTACGGGCTAGATCATTGCATCTAGGGCTACATTGTATAGTGATTGGGGGTCCCTAAAAACGTTCCCAGATGAACCCTCAGCCTCTACTGCGCCACGTACAGCTCCACGTGGTCCAGCTTCTGTTGGCGACAGAAGCGCCGGAAGTGCTCTGCGATGCCTTTCACCAACGTCATTGTCTCCTTGAACCTGGTTGGAGTTGGGGGCCCTATAGGGATATAAAGGGTTGCAAAAAGAATTTATGGTTGTCTAAGGACCAAAGAACTTTAAAACTTGTTCCCCAATCAGCCCCAGGGACACGGCTTCCTTGATCTCCACCGAACGGCACGAAACATCCAACTGGAGCGGTTCATCACTTTCGTAGTTGCCATGGGGTGACTTGACTTCCTTCCAACCACTCCCGCGACCACGAACGCGTACGTCGACCCCAGTTCTGTAGATTTTCTTCATGTTGTCGCCATTGCGGCCGATTAAGCGAGGGACAAGCTCGAAGGCGGCATGCTTCTCCAGGTCGTAGCCGTGGAAGATGACGGCAAAATTGAAGTTCTCGAGTTGCCCTGCTTGCGGCGCTTGCGGCGCTTGGTGCTCGGAGGAGTGCCTGGGGGGGGGGGGGGTAATCTTCTCGTTGGCGAAACCACTTGGTGAAGGCAGGAAGGGTAGACCGAGTGAGGCAAGCAGGACCACTGGGTAAACGTTTGCCACTTCACCAATGTCCTGGGTCAGCCCAGGAGGAGCCCTGATCGCCACATATTTTGGCTCATTTGACGAAGGGCTGCCATTCAACTCCAAGCGCCCTACATCTCCACTGCCGGAGCTCCCGTAGTCCTTCGAGCCATTCTCGGACACTGACTCTGACAAAGTCAAGCTGTCAGAAAGCAGCCGATTGACACGTGAGGGGAGCACCTGGTAGGGCACTCGCACGTCCATCCCAAGGGATGGATATGTCGGACAAGACGCATAGATGGCGTCCCCTGATGGTCCCACACCAGTCACAAACTCATCCACAAGCGCCATGTTTAGCGAGGTCCGTATTCTCAGAGAGCAGAGCTGCTACAAATGGCAAGCTTGAGAGGAGTATCCCATGAAATCTTGGCATGACAAGCAAGAAACCCAGATCTTCCAAGGTCAGTTCCGGAACAACTCTGCATCTGGGTTTTTGATTTCTTATTCTGGTTTCAAGGTGTATGTATAACGGCTTCTTGACTAAGCTATTCTGGCAGACCTGGAAAAAGCACCCAGAAACAGTTACAGCTGCACGCCTGCACTGAAACGAACATAATTTCGTGCTGTAACGAATCCTACGGCGTGGCATATGAAGGAGTCGGGGTTCAGGGGCTTGGGGGTTTAAGGTTTGGGGTTTAGGGGTTTGGGAGATATGGGGACTTAGGGGTTAAGGGCTTCAGGGTTTCAAGGCGTAGGGTTTAGGTTTACGGGTTTTTGAGGTTTAGAGTAATCCCTTTTGCCCCGAATCCTCAGCCGTGAATCCCGAAACTACCCTAAACCCTTAAACCCTTCAATGAGCTCCTCAACCTCTAAACCTTCATACAACTCTGAAACCCCAATTCTCTATATAAGCCTTGAACCCCCAAAACCTCAAGCCCCGCCTCAGTCCTGGGGCCCTGTCTTCGGCCCTACACCCTTATGGGTTCTGTGTTTAGGGTTCAGGGCTTTAGGTGTTTAAGGGCTTAGAGGGTTAGGGTTTAGGGGAGTCTGCAAGTGCGTCCAACACATCCGAAGGCACAAAATAAAAAATCAAAGGTAGTAGGTGCCTTTTGAAATGTAGGGTTTAGGGATGACAATGAGACATGGGTATTTGGGGTCGCGCGTATTGCAACGATCTTTGGATTAGAGGACTCCTGTATACTTCACATAAGCCCTGTCCTAAGACCTAAGCTAAAAATTTTAGCTAAAAATTTTTTTAAAAATTTGAATTTTTTTTTTTAACTTGAGAAAAGAACCCCTATGCCCCTAAAAAAAACCCGCAAGCGCCGGCTGCCTCACCCGAGTATTCACGCTGCGACCTTTGCCGCGGTCTCCGGGCTCTGGTTTCGCTTGGAGGTTTAGGGTTAGGGTCTGTCGCAGTGCTGGTGCAAGTTCGGCAAGCGATTTGGCTGTCCAACCTCGATACAGTAAGACTTGTCACGTCATCGTCGCAGCCGTAGGGCCGCTCTATTAAGGGGTGGGGGGGGATATCCAAAGAGTCCTTATGAATGAGTCTCCTCATGAATTTTGAGCTGGGCTTCGAGCCCTAAGCTGCCTACACCCTTCTACCATAAACACTCTGAAAAATATTCCCAAATAGGATCCTCCTAAGCCCAAGAGAACCCAGTCCTAACCCTAAACCCTAAACTCTACAAGCCCACAACCCCTCAGCGCCCTTTCGATCCTGGACCTTAGGGCACACAGTTTGCTGAAAAGTGGACAGGCCTTCGGCGCCCAAGTTCATCCACAAGTCAGGCTTTTAGGGTTTAGGGTTTACATCACAACCCTGCTTTCTGAAGCTAGTGTTACGAAGGAACCCCAAAACCCCCAAAACGAAAATGGGAACCACTGAAATATTCCCATCTCAGCTCATCTCCCCCCTGTGCGCCGCACCTCGGCTGGTCGCGTGCCTGGAGCTTCAGCTTCAGGTAGACCTGGTTTAGGGGAGTCTAGGGTTTTTGGGGAGGGCTTGTTGTTCTTCTCAGATTTCGGTTTGGGGATTCAAATCGGCCTGGACTTACTGGAGTTTAGGGGAATCGGAAGTGGGGAGTGGGTACCTGCAGGAATCCCCACATTGGGGTATGCTCAGATAGGGGTCTTTTCTTGTTCCGATGATGAGGGCTCTTGTGCCTATTTAGGGGCCTTTTTGGGGATTTCCTCTTGAGGGGCTTCTACTGTATTTCCGAGTAAAATGGGGCGCCCACGTGGTCTGCGAACCTGGGAGATGTGGGGAAGGCACTGAGGGCCTCGTTCAGAACCCCCCGCATGAAGCCCTTGCTACGTTAAGTGGCATTGGACCCGGTATATCCTAAACCCCAAACCCCAAACCCTAACCCTTAGAATCTGGGTAATAGGTCTTGGGGGCTTTTCTGCTTCTAAGATCCTGGCGACCGTCTGGCCGGAGCCATCTGAATGCGTGCCGATGAAATCGATGCAGGTACCAGGCCTTGCCAGCAGGTACGCCCGAAACCCTGAAAACCCTGAACCCCCTAAAAGCCCTGAAAACCCTAAAACCCTAAAAAACCGAAAAACCCTAAAAACCCCTAAACCCTAAAAGAAACCCTAAAAAAGTGATCTGGAAGGTGCAGGCTTTGGGTGCGCAACGCTTTGGCACCTCTAAGACCCGAAGGCTCAGCGCCAAAGATCTTCAAAACTTTGCCCTTTTTCGCCCGGTCATACCATTGAATGGGCCTTTCTATGAGACCCTGACATGTGTGTGAGCTCTTGTTTGCTTGTTAACGCTCAGGAGGTCGAGTGTGGGTGAACCCTGAACACACACACACACACTCTCTCTCTCTCTCCCTCTCTCTCCTGACACCTCTCTAACCTCAAGCGGCCCTTGAGCCACTAAACCCTACATCCTTGATCCCACCGACGTAGTGAACTACAGGGTGAAGAAATAGCAGCCATAACAGACCTTGAACCGAAACCCTAACCCGTGTACAAGGTAGCCTAAACCCTAAAGCCCGAAAACCCCAAACAGCACAAGCGAAATGTCCAAAGGCCTGCAAATGCGTCATAAAATTCCCAAAGCCCTAAACCCGGAACCCTGGAACCAAAAATTGCCCGCATGGCCTGGCCTGAGAGTCGCCCGCTCGCCCTTCCCAAGCTTTGGCCCAGAGATGGCTATTGGGTTGGCACTGAGATTCGTGACCTGCGCGCAAGGGGGTTTTAGGGATGCTTGGGGTTTTAGGGGGAGGCTTGGGGGGGATTTGGGGGTTCTGGGGATGTTTGGATTTTGGGTTTAGGGCTTCGGGCTTCGGCGGCTTAGGGTTTAGGGGTTTGGGTTTTGGGTTTGGGGAGTTTAGGGGATTGGCGGGTGTTCGGAGGAGGATGAATGGGTTTAGGGGTTTCGGGTTCTGCGTTTGGGCTTCAGGGTCGCCGGGTTTCCGGAAGGAAGTTTGCATCTGGACGCTGTTCTTTGGGACAAGGAGGATTGGGCCCCCATGTCGAGTTGCGCAGGTCTTTCTGGGAATGGGACGAAGGCAACAGGCTCTAGGGGCTTCCTCACGGCTTGCTGCACTAGTTTCCGTGACAGGCTTCCTGAATCCGTAAGACCTCAAACCCCTTAGGGAAGCCAAATCCAATCCAGGAGGCTCGAGCCTGCAACCCAACAACTTTCCCCTTGAAGTCTGGGCCCTCAACTCGAACCCTGAAGCCTACATCCAGAACTCCCACCCCAGATGCGAAACTCCCCAAACCCACCTTCCCCCTAAACCCTAAACCCGAAACCCAAAACCCGAAACCCTAAACCCTGAACCCTCCCTCTGCTGTTGCGGAGGCCTCGAAGGACCCTTGAGGAGACGAGGGCCTGGGCGACGGGCCAGGTTTTAGGACCTTAGGGTTGAATTTAAGTTAACCCTGTGCTCAATCACCTTTTAAGGTTAGGGCGTAGGGTTTAGGGTGAGGGTTTAGGGTTTAGGGTTTAGGGCTTAGGGTTTAGGGTGAGGGAAGTAAACCCTAAACTCTGCGGCTTGGGGTCAGTCATTTAGGGGCCTGAACAATTAGACTAGGGTTTTGGGGGTGATTGTCGCAGAATTACAAAGGGACCCGAAGGGAATACTAGTAGTAATTATTCCGACCCCTATATTGTACTCCTTCTTTTGGGCTTTAAGCTTAACACTGCGTGGGGTGGGGGGGTGGGAGGGGGGGTGTCCATATTGCGAGTAAACGTATATTGGGCTCTCAGAGGGTCTATGCGACTGCCGGCATCGGTTCAAGGTGGATTCTAGGACTTAGACCCTAAAACCTGCTTCAGAGCTCATGACTGAAGGGCTCATATAGGGCTTCTGGTTCAGGATACAGGGTTCAGTTGCTTAGGAGTGAAGTTTCGGAAGTTGTGGGCTTTCGAGACTGTCGGTTTACGAGGGTCTACGGCTTGGGGGCGGTCTTGAGGGCTTCGCAATGACAGAAGGTGTATTGCTCAAGAAAGACAACATGCGCCGAAAGACACTAGGGCTAACCCAACCTCTGAATCCTAAAAACCTTCACACAACTCAAGGGGGGGAGAAGGCAGGGGGGGGGGGTCGTTCTCAGAGAAAACCAGTAAGTTGCTCTGTGTTTCAGACGTATGAGGCCGCCGCACAATCTCAAGATGTGAGCGAGAAACGCAGCAAAGATACCTGCCGGGAGGTTCAGGGATTTCTGCAGAGTCGTGGGGCGGCTGATATTTGGCCCAAACCCAAATGCCAAACTTGAACTCCGGTGTAGGGTTTAGGGTACCCTAAACCCTAAACCAAACCCCTAGGGAACCCTTCAGGGGTACAGCCTTAGGCTGGGGCTTTACTGTCTATGGTGTTTTTAAAGAGCTTGCATGGGGATCAGAGCCCACAGAACTTTTACAAGAAATTCCTAAAGAGGTTACATGGGGATCAGAGCCCACAGAACTTTGACAATAAGTTCCATCCACATCACCAGCAGTCTGGCCTCTGCGCCAGCTCCGCAGACAGGAGCTGTTCAAAAAGGCCACTTTGATGTAAGCGGCCAAGCATTAACCTCGGCAGCGGGTGCACCTCAATGCCTTGAGCTTGAAACTCCCAAACCCGAAATCCTACAGATGCGACGTGCGTCTCGAAACCGTCGATTCTAGACTGCCAGCTGTAGGGGGCGTTTTAAATCGGAATCTGCGTTTTTGGCAGTTTATGTTACAAGTAGAACGATTCAGCGAGCATGAGGGGATAATACTGATATTGGCAGTTCTTTAGGCTCCTAGATCCCAAGCCTTGAAAATCCTAAACTTACCCTAAACTCCAAACCCTAACCTACACACACTTCATACATCGCGAAGAACACGCAAAGCCTTGAACTGCTTCGCTTGCTGTTGCTGTCAGCCTACTGCTAGGCTCCGGCAACCTTACTCTTAAGGGATCGAATGTGGGAGCCCTGGCGTTCCTCCTTTTGTCCCTTTCGTGGGGTAGTGTTCCTTTCATGGAGTAGTTATGTATAAAAGTCCCCTCACAAGTGTAGTTACCATTCCTATAACCCTAGTTGTTACTACCCATGAACCTCCAAGTAGTACTCTGAACATGGCCAATGGTCCAGGGTTGAAATCTGGTTCCCTATGTACCTATTGTCTAGACAGACCCTATAGCCTCCCCCAACATGCCCACTTAAACAGTAAAGCCCCAAGCCTTGCAAGGCCACCTGCACGACTTCCGCTCCAGCCGAGCCCCGAGCTTCTGCGCCATGTCCAGAGGCACTGTGCGAGCTTCTGAAGGCATTTGGGAAACCTTTGCCGTGGCGCTTTTAGGCTTAGGGGTCCTTAAGGGTTGAGGCATGAGGGCTTGGGGTTGAAGTTGATGGCTTGTCTTGTGTAGATTTAGGGGCTTGAGGTCAAGGGTTAACGGGTTTGGAGTTGGCGCAACTCTACCATGTCATGTAAAGACTTACTACTGCAATAAAGAATTCTGAGTATCGTCATGAATGTCGTTTCTCTGGCTTGTTTTATCTTGACCAGGTTGAAAACTACGAATGCCGTCCTCTCCCGAAACCCTAAGCCCCCAAGGCTTTTGTCTGTCCAGCTCCGCAGAATCGCGCTTGTTTCTAAGAGCGCTGAACTCCGGCGAAACAAGCTCGATGATAATGCTCTGCGTCCTCTGCTGTACAGAGCTCGGACGCCCCCTAAGCCAAGACCCCCACCAAGACCGGGGGTTGGCGACCGGCTCAGGCATTCTTGCTTTATCCAGCAGCAAGTCTCGAGCATGACTTAGCAGGAGGGTGGTTGGCTGCATGCTCACGTGCCTCCCAAACCATCAGCAACGAGGTCCGCATTCATGCTGTCCGAAGGATCGTTGTCGGTGCCGGCTGTAGAGTACACGTAGTGGACCTCGTAGGACTTGCCGACCTGCACGTCAGTGAGCGTGTCCGTGGGGCACAGGCAGGCCGCGGGTTGCCGGCCAGGCACCTGCCGGAGGAGGCCGCGTCGTAAGCCGGTTCAGTTGTTGTAGGCTCTTATGCCCAGCCCGCAGGTGGAAGTGCACGTTCACCAGCGGCAGGAAGTTGGCCTGAGCTTTCGTAAGGGTGGCTGCCTTCGGGACCATGCTGCCAGAAGCGCCAGTTGAGAGATCCCCAGCAACCTAGGTTGCCCAGTAACCCAGGAGAAATGGAAGGCGTCTTTTTGCTGGTTGAGTCGGGCTTGTGAGGGATCCCTAGCCTCTAGAAAGAAAGGGAACAGAAGTAGGAGCGCCCCTTATTCTTGAAGCAGCGGTGCTAGTCGGGTACCCTCGCATTTTGGCGCCAAGCACCTTCAGTCAGTAAAGGGGCTGCATCATCTCCAACCCAGTGGCTCAGGCATCTCAAGCAGACGCCAATTCCAGCTAAAGCTTCGGCAGAAATTGAACCCATGTGTAGCTATCCGTTCTCCTTGGCTGAGACAGAGGAGGAAAAAATGAAGCGGACATGCTTCCTGATGCCCTGGACGCAACACCATAGCTCTACTTGATATCTGCGGCCCCCCAAGCACAGAAGCCCAAGCGGCTAAGCAAGCAACATAGAAACAACAAACGTTAGACACTATAGCAGAGCTTCTTCCGCATACCACTGCGTGGCAATCCACTTGCCGCCTGCAAGTACCGGGCAAGCACTGTGCTCGGCCTGCAAGCGCATTTCCAGGCTTACAAGCACCAGTAGTTTCAGAGTTTAGGGTTCCCTAAACCCTAAACCCTAAACCCCAAAACCCTAAACCCTGAAGCACGACTAGGTTCCCAGGGAGCACAACACCCTGGGATTCGACTCAACGTCTTTGTGGATTTCTGAACTTTTGGGGCTCGACCGAACTGGTCTCCATGACGGTAGATTCCTCATGCTCGTCAGCTGTGCTCGAAACTATTTATAACCAAGGTTCTGTAACTGATAAGAAAGTATTTCGTGGGTGCATGACAGACTAGCAGCAAAAAGAGAAGAAAGTATTTCAAGGGCTGAGGGTGCGGGGGCTGATATGCTCAGCGCCCTTTCTTCAAGAGTTCCCCACAGAGCCTTCTAAATCCCCTTCAAAACAGAATAGACCTTAAGGCATAAGGGCCCCCTATTTCGGTTTATGGTATATTCGCAAGTCAGGGGTATTAAGGGCTCCTTAGAGATTAGACCGATGGGATCCGGAAGTTGAGCTAAGGAATACTCCTTGTCTCGGGCGTATTGGAGTTTCTGGGCTGAAGGGTTTAGGATTCCATAAGCCCTACGACGCAAAACCCTTTGAGGGTTTAGGGTTCATGTATTTCGGCCATTGAAGTTGGGGCTTACGATAACAATCCCTGATAATCGTGGCCTTAAAAAAGGGACCCGAAAATGTCGGAAACCCCTGGGACTCATCGGCAGATTGGCATACTCGACGCCTTCAATGTCTTTCGGGCTTTAGGGTTTTGGCTTGAGTGTTTGCATTTGGGGCTTTAAGTTGTTCGGGTTTGCTGGTTTGGTTTGGTGACTTCAGGCCTTTGGGGTTTTTGAGTTTAGGACCTCGTAAGGCCTGCAACCCAAGGCCCTAAACCGCAAGCACTCAAACGCTGTTCTCAAAAAGATGAGCAACGCGCCTCCCCCCTTGCCATGGTCTGGCCGATCAGATAGCCAAAGACCAACAGGTCACCTCCAAGAACTGATGTAGTGGGCTTGGAAGACCCCAAACCCTAAACCCGAAACCCAAACTCTTGTTGAGGGCCGAAGACCGGAAAACCCTAAAACCCTAAACGCCCCTTGGGGCTTGGGAGAAGAACCGAAACCCAAAACTGTCTGGGGCTCAGGGATGCGGATCTTTTATTGAGGACTCCAGGAGCTCTTACGCACGGACGCCGAGGGTGTTGGATCAGGCGTGCCGCCTTCACTGGGGGCGATCTTCAGCGCGTCGTGCGTGAACGTGGTGTGGCCGCCTACACAGACAGAGGGGGGTCTAGGGGCTGTGACGAGAAAGTTAGGTAACCACCCCAACACAGATGTTAATAGGAGCCTCTATGTAGGTTTCTTGAAGGGTCGGGTCACAGGAGCCCTTGTAGAAGCTGCAGCTGTCTTGACGATAAACTACAGGAATTCCGCCATCTGAGCCTTGCAGTCCGTTGTGAAGGTTCAGTCAATCCCCAAACCCCAAATTTCCCAAAACCTCAAACCCAAGACCCATTGGGGGCCTTTAGGGCTTCAGGGTGCATTCGAGCTTCTTTAAGGGCCGACTTTGTTCTCCAGGGCTGCCTGCCTTCGTCAAGGGTTTCGGGTTTAGGGTTTAGGGTTTTAGGGTTCAGGGATCTAAGGTTTTAGGTGCTAAGTTTGCTAGGGTTTGACAGAATTGTTTTGCTTTCAACGACCCAGACATACCCATTGTAACTCAATAGGCCCCTGGATGCACCCTTAACCGCTAGAAGCCGAAAGCTAAGGGTTCCAGGGTTTGCATCCTCAATTACCCAAGAAAGCACCCAGGAACTCCTCAATCCTCGACCCCTGGAACCTCCCAGTCTTCAGGCCTTCTGTGGGAACTTGGCAATACAAGATGCTTGTGGCCTGAAGCTTGAAACTTTGGGGTGCGTGGGAGTCCGGTTCGGTATCAGTTGTGCTTGAGAGAAGCTTGTTCATCCTAAACCGTAAACCCTGGATTGTGGTTTGGGGCAAGTTTGGGGCAAGTTTGGGGTTTCGGGTTCCGATTGCTGGGGTCGGCAGCGCAGGAGCGGAGGGGCTTGACTGCTAGGATGGCAGTGCCCAGTGAGCCCAATACGCGCAAGTAAGGACCCGACTATACCACCATACCGTCAACCAGATGCGGGTTTCCGAAAATAGGGGTACCCGATTTTGGGAAATACCCATATGGAGATCCATGCTTATTGAGCTCTCTGGGTACTATGGATTAGGGACTCTGCTCTCTTTCAGGGCGCACCACCGGTTCAGGGAAGCAAAGAGGTTGGGATATCATAACGTGGCTCAGAGCACAGCTCAAGACACAACAAGGTGTGGTCGGCCAAGCTTGTGAGGCAACGTGTGAGGTCGAGTGGCTACTCGTTCACCAGGGCGATGACGATCACCACTGCCTTTGCTTCCTAAACCCTGAAACACAAGCCCCGAAAAAACCCTACACCCCTAAAACCCACATGAAAGGGATCGTTTGAACCTGTGGAGTACTTGAGGCCGGAACCCCTCGCAGAACCGTCACAGGGTTCAGCGTTGGTTCAGGGTTTTCCTAAACCCCAAGACCCTCACTGTAAGGCTTCCGGGATGTCTCCACCAGTGCAGTGCTCCAAACACCGGGTTGGGGCGAAGGTGCAGCGGCCATCGCAATGGGGTCGATACTCGTCACCTATCAGGTTCCGAAATTGAGAGGGTTTTTGTAGGGTTCGTTCATTTTTAGGGTTGAAAGGTTCCTGGTAGGCTCCCTATCCCTAAACCCTTCCCCGGCCTGGATTTCGGTAGGCTGCGATGTTCAAGGGCTCTGGGGACGTAGAATTCCTGGATCAGCACTGGCCTACAATCTAAACAAGGTTTAGGGTGTAGGGTGTCGGGCCAAGGTTTAAAGTGCAAAATAACCTTATGCAAGACTCATGCTGTGCGCGGTCTCGGAATGCCGCCAACACGCAAAAGCACAACTGCTTCCAATTGCACACTAGATTCAAGCTGTACCCGGTGAGCCTCAGCGCAAGCATAGCACGTTCAGGATTGTTAGTCTTGAGAGCAGTTTGTGAACCTAAACCCTCAACCTAGCAAGGAATTACTGAATCAGGGTTTAGGAATCCCCGGGGTGGGAAAGGGGGGGCAACCCTCAAGTAAGATCCTACAGTCGTACTGTAGTTCCAGGCTTAGGGTTTCGAGGGCGGCTGCTAGGAACCCTAAACCCTAAACTCTAAACCCTGTTCCAAGCCTCGAAAAAGCCAATCCTAAGCTGTCGAAGTGTTGGAGTCTCTGGGCAATCTGAGCTCTCAAACCCTCCTGGAATCTAGGGATTCGACCTTGGACCCTTAAGGTTGTACCCTTGGGTTTTGGGGACCCTTTTTTTCAAGATCCTAAGGGTATCAGGGCCAGAATAGGAGTTTTTTAGGGGGAGCCTCTAGGGGAGGGAGCTGGGGAATAAGCCTTCAGGTGCCAAGGAGCTGCTTTGCCGCCAAGAACATCCTGAGATATTGCTGTTCAAGGGACCAGAGATCGAAACCCTAAACCCTAAACCCTAAACCCTAAACCCTAAACCCTAAATCGTGACCGTAAGGTTGGATTCCCTCAGTATGTAGTCCCGCTATGAACCCTATCCCCTAGATTTCGTAAGGCTTTCTCTAAAGGGGTCCGCCTAATCCGCATCCCTTTGTTCAGTTGGTCTCTTGTTGAGAATCACAGTGCACTGGCCGTACTCCGCTCATTGTCGGGGAAAATTGAGTCCTAAGGCAATTTGGTATGTGGGGCCCAAATTGGGGAGGTTCTTACGATAAGGGCACCCAAAGTTAGAACACTTGCTTAAGCCGAAAAACCTCTGAAAACCCCTAAGAACCCTAAATCCTAGACCCCAGAGCCAGGCAGCTCTGCCCGAAGAGACTGGAGCGCCGGATGCGCGTCCAGCTCATGGTTGGCCACATTCTTGCTGGAGGACCTGCTCTAAACCCTAACCCCCTAACCCTAATTCGGTAGGAACCCCAATGGCCCAAGCCCCTAAGAATGGACAGCTTAAGGCTGAGTCTGTGCAGGATGGGCCGGCCAGGAGCGGGCGAGAGACTCAAAGCCGAAGAACGGTTGGGTTCAAATGGGAAACGCTAACTCCGAGAATTTTACTGTCCCTGGAGTACCCAAACCCAGAGAAACCCGAGCATCTCTTTGGAGAGCCCACCCTGCAGAGAACATCCTTACCCTTGAAAAGTCAAGCATTGACCCCTAAACCCCAAACCCTAAACCCTAAACCCTAATCCCTAAACCCCTCACTGGAGCCTCCGGTAGAAGCCGCCGGCCACGCCACGAGCCACAGCGGGTGACAGGCTGTCCAGGCCGCCGGCAACCAGGAGCCTGACACCCCACTCGGAGGTTCATGCGCGGGCGGTTCTAAGTAGGGTTGTAAGCATGGTAACTATGCTTGTTACCCCATTTAGGGTACTTGCAACCCTACTTATAATGGCCCATGAACCTCCAAGTATACTTGAACCTGGGGAAAATGGAGCACCCTTTTTGGTTTATGTAGGTTTTGCAAGGATCCTTAAAAAGGGATAAGGGTACCACGGGGCATCGGATTTCAGTAGATGCCTTACGCTGTTTAGGGGGGCTCCTTGTTAAACATCGAAATTCCTAAACCCTCCACCTAAGGAGTATGGAGGGCTCTTTGGGTGGAGCCTTACACCCCAGACCCACGACGTCAGCTGCGGTGCCCAAAGAGCCCAATACCCCTTAGTGATCGAATCTGGCAATCTGGCCCACAGCATGATAAGGATACCTTGGTAGTTTGAAGGTCTACTCAGTAATGGAGAGGTTTTTCGGGCTTTTCTGGGTGGGGGAAGGTGTCTGGTTAAGAGGGTTTGGGGTTTCAGGGTTTGGGGCTTAGGGGACTTATGGGCGGTTTCGCGGTGTGGGGTTCGGAGCATCAGATCAAGGGTTGAAAGCCCAAAGCCCCACATGCCCTACAACCCTGTCACCCCCCAAAAAACCTGGTAGCCCAGCAACCAAAGTATAACAAGGGTACCCTTCTTTGGGGTTGGTTGCTTTATACGGGAACCTTGAACCCCAAGAAAGGGCAAAGGGGTACCACTGGGCCACCAAGAAAAGCTCAGCTCCCGGCAGGCGCGCGCACGTCGCGTTCGGGGCGAAGCCCTTGATCAGGGCGACCTTGCAAGAACGCTTCAGGGCTCAGGGCTTAGGGTTTGGGGCGAAGCCCGCACGTCCTTGGGGGTTTAGGGTTGAGGTTTAGGATTCTAGGGGATTGGGGCTTATAGGGTTTAGGGCTTCAGGGTTTGGAGCTTAGGGTTTCGTGGGGAGGGCCCATGAATGGAGGGGGGGGGGGAGGGTGGGGTGAGAACGCACAGCACCACCTTGTTGTATGGTGCAGTGCCAGTTAATTAGAATATTTTTTTTGGAGGGGGGTTGCTATTGTATATTTTTCCATGGACCATAGGGGAAAATTAGCAGCAACTCGACCCCCTAGGTTATTTTGGTCGATAGGCCAAGTGGCAGGTGGATGTTCTCGGAACACCTCGCCAGGCTGGCACTTAAAGCTCTCTGAAGACGAAGCCCAATTGAAACCGGAATCCAAAGAACATACAGTAGAATAGGACGTATCCAAATTTGGTGGATAGAACTACCTTAGGCTTCAGAAACGTGCGAAGAGCCTTGAAGCATTGCAAGAGCCTCCAACTACTCTCTTAGGATCTGTATTACAATCCAAGGAAAGTGTGGAGGAGAGCGGCCTGGCAACCGGCATGTGAGTGCGAGCATTCTCGTTTCATGTTAGACACATGCACATGCACATATCGACTCGACCGAAGCGTGGAATCTCAACTTCCGGAGAAAAACGTGCCAAGGACCGGCAACGAAGTGTTTTGGTCACGCGACGCTCCGACGAATGCAGGACGAGCTTTCGATTTTTCAGACGTCGAGTGGGAAGCACTCTTCATAAGCATGAGCGAATCACCAGATGCTTAGGCAAAAGTAGTACCCAGAAACTCCAATACCCCTTAACTAAGGAATATTCCTTAAAAACAAAAGGGTTCCTTATATGGTTTCAGGAAAATACCCTTCATTAAGGGGCATTGGAGTCTCTGGGTCAGCCCTACTTGGAGGTTCATGGTACTTATAAACCAATTAAAACTGTACTTAAAAACTGCACCTTTAAACCATATTGGGGACTTATAAGTGGGCTATAAGTACAGTTTTTAATTGGTTTGTAAGTACCGTTAAACCCTAAACCCTAAACCCTAAACCCTAACCCTAAACCCTAAACCCTAAACCCTAAACCCTAAACCCTAAACCCTAAACCCTGAGCCCTAAACCCTAAACCCTAAACCCTAAGCCCTAAGCCCTAGTAAGCGTTTCGAAAGGCAAGGGAAGGCCTCGACGTCCAGGCGCCTGGCTTGCTCCGAGCAGTCGGAGCCGCCAGCGCTGATATCTGGAAAGGCATGGGCTGAACTCCAACATCACTTTGCTTTGTTTTTTTGAGGCTTTTGGATTTTTTGGGGTTTTGGGGTTTGTGGGGTTGTTAGTTTTGGGGTTTAGGGCTACTCCAAAACCACTTCATTTGGGTTGAGGGTGTTTGGGGGTTGTGGGTTTTGGGGTTTCGGGCAGTGGGCTAAGGGCATAACAGTCCATGCGTCCACGGTGCATCCTCGTGGAAGTTTCAAGTTGGACAGATCCTCCGATCTGTCCGCAGCTCATATAGGGGTCGGCATAATTACCCACAGTCTTCCCTCATAGTCCCTTCATACTTGTACTATAAATAACCCTCCACAACCCCTACTCTAATTTTTCAGGCCCCCTATTCTTACGCGCATGGACCCGACGTCCGAAAACATCTTCAAATCCAGCCCTCAATCAACCCAAAGTCCCAAGTCTTGGAGAATCCAACGCCTGGCATGCCAGGCCCAAGATCCAAAACAAGTGGAAAGTAATGCCGTAAAACCTCAACTCCAAAGCCAACACGCTGATCTCTCAAACCTAACCATCCAGAACCCAGCACCCTAAACTCTACAGCCGATAAAGCCCCAGACCCAAAAACCAAACCATAAACCCGAAACCCTAAACCCCAAACACCCTAAACCCTCCCTAAACCCTAAACCCTAAACCCTAAACCACCCCCACGGCCTAGGGTGTGGCGACGGAGGGCCCGGGAAGCACCCGGCAGCCGACAGCTGGCGTTCCGCAAGGCCTCGTCGAACCTCGGCTTGGCTTCGGGTTTTAAGGGTTTGGGATTTAGGGTTTGGGGTTTGGGGTTTGGGGCTTAGGGTTTAGGGTTTGGGGTTTGGGGTTTAGGGTTTGAGGTTTAGGGTTTAGGGTTTAGAGACAACAAAACCACGGGATCTCAACCTAACCTCCTTCTGTAGGGAGGCTCAGGGAAGAAAACTCGGGCGTGCGGCGAGTTGGTATCGATAGCAGTGACAGCCATGGGCTCCACACTTTAAGGGTTGGGGGCTGGGGTCTAGCATTCTTACAGGTTGCATTTGCATTTCCTTTTACTGCCAACACTGGGGCCCCACCCCACCCAAAACCCTGAACCCTAAACCTTAAACCCTCTTGACTAATGGACCGCAGTGACCTGGGGAGTAATTTGGACCGCAGCGACCTGGGGAGTTTAAGGATTAAAGTTCTGGGTCCAGGGGTCGTGAAGAAGGGGGGTAGGGTCAGTTCGTGGTTGGCGCCCTGAGGCTTAAAGTGAGTTGGTCTAATCGTGCAGTCAGCCCAAGCATGCGGCCCGGGCTCCTACGAACACAAGGAACTGGCTTCGCCTATATGTCTAACAATCACCGCATTTGACGAAACACTGTTGACATGGTTGACATGGCCCTACTGCCCCATATCATCCTTTAAAGGGGGCAGGGGAGTATTATGTGTGATCCACTCCATGGTCCCTTCTGTGCAGTTCCGCGGCAGAGGCCGCGGAAGCAGGAAGTTGGGATATGACGCTGCGTCCTCAAGGTTTAGGGTTTAGGGTTTGCAAGAGGTGGTGGAATAGACAAACTATTCAAGAAATGTTGCCCGCGCCAACAGGTATTAGCTCAGGGCTGGAAGGAGAATCGCTATAAACAGATGTTGGTGTGAAAGTTGCAATTCAGGTGATAGTATCCCTATCAACGGGTCGGGTCCGGGGGCCAATCCTTTCCCAACAGAAGCCACCCCCTGTATCGTGAGTACAAGAGGATACTCGAGCTTGCAAGACTCGAGGGGTGTATAAGCGTATTGGTCGATACCGCCTAGGTTTCCCTTATGGCGTTTACCAACCTCCACCTTATACTCTCCGTCTCCTCCTCCCCTGGCGCCTAGGTTTCCCTTATGGCCTACCAGTATTAGAAGAGAGCGAAGCAGGGCTAGGGGCCTGTACACAGAAAGGGGCAAAACACTTTTTACTTGCTGAAGTGCTCAAAGAGCGCTCTTGAGCGGATAGCGCTGCGGTGCTGCGCGAGTCACTCGATCAACTTAAACTCACAACACAACCTGTACATGTCTGACAAGCACACGAAGCATGACTGATCCATGGGATATTAACTTCAGAGTCGAATCGTCACCATCAAGTATTAAATCATCTCGCATCACATCAATATCGTCCGGTGTCAAGATCTCCTCGTCCTCGCGCGCGGCGTATTATCATCAATTCCTCATCCAACATCCATCATCATATTTTGTCATGCTCATGCCCTAACCTGAAATGTGCTACCGTCAGACCTGACTTGCAACAAAAGTTACTTATACATGATGCGCCAAACACCCCCCGTTATGGGAGCGAGCAGCGTACATCAAAAGCATTGAACTATGCGTCAAAGTTCGTGGTTCGCTTGTAGCCAAAACACCACACAGCGTGGGGCAAATATCATGAGGTCCCAGCTCCTTCGGAGCCGTGCAGACCCACCTCCACCCCCAATTAAGGGATCTCGAGATATACTGCCCCGAAGCAACACGGCCTCCACGAACAAACCCATTCAACGCATTGGCGCGATCATCCTCGTATGCTTGGAAGTCGGCCAGCTTTGCGTTAAATATCATAATTTGTCAGGAAAACTTACTGTCACTGATCCTCCGAATATTATCTCTGTACGCCTCTCTCATCCGTTCATTCATATCAGAACTCGACGTCGCCGATATAGTCTTTTGAATTTAGGTCTTACTGGTGGCCAACCATGCCCTGGTCAAATGTCTTCTCGAGTTACCTCTTCAGGCCATGAGGGCTTCTTGGTGATCCGCCAAGCCTCACACTCTCTCATCCACCGAACTCGGATCGGGCGTCGTTGGGCCTTTCTGGTGATCAGCCATGCCCCCAATCATTTTCCACTTGCAGTCCGCTCCATCTTCAGTCTCGATCCCATATTCTCTTCCCGTCGATGAATTTCATGCGTTATCCGGTTCAAACGTCACCATGAGGCAGTCGAGAACATCCATTATTATTCGCAGAAACCACTTCTCTCTTCCCATGGCATTTCCATGCGCAACGATACCCACCTTGTGTGGGATCGTGCAGATATGCTTCCTTTCCCTTCTCCTCCGTATTATTGTAAACGTTTCCCTGTATGAAATCTGCATTTCAGTATTCAAACTTCTTCTGCTTCGTCGTCTCCTCTTTCACTTTCCATTCCTGTGTCGACGACGTTCTTCCCCTTCCGCTGCTTTTCCCAGCGGCTCCTCTCCTGGTACCCGGTCGCGAGGTATCACTGGCCGATGATGCCGTTGCGCTCCTCACCGCCGTGGCAGTTGGTCTTGATGCAGCACTGCCTTTCCCTGGATATGTGACTTCCTCATCTACCCCGGAAGTATCACCGCCGTCGTTTTCTCTCATCAGGTTCTGGATATAAGGACTTTTCTTATCATCACTCCTCGCAAATGCGGACGGTACCTTTGGATATTCTTTTCCTTGCTTGGGTCGAGGCCGCCCACTCTTTCCCTCGCTTACCCCGGATTCACTCGCCTTATCAACTTCCCCTAGCGGGCTCCGAGTCCTCGTTCTAGGCGTATCATCTTGGTCATCACGCTCGCGCGACACTCCTCGCGGTTCACCCTCATGCCCCTGATCCATATTCACCGAGACCTTTTCTTCTTCTTCCTCCTTTTTCACCTCGGTATCAAGAGATTCTCCACCATCTCTACTCGAGCTCCGTGACGTATGGATCGTGTGCGTTATTAGTAGCTCGTCCAATTCTTATCCAATGACATAACTTCCCGTGATAGGGTACTCGATTCCAGCGTGGTCGTTGGCCCATCTCATATTGGGAGCTACGTGCCTTGTACCGCTAGGTCCTTCTGCTGACCATCCCATGGTCATCCCGCTCATAGGTATTTTCGCAATGACATCAGGTCACACCTTGCCTCCTCGCCCTGCTCGACAGGTTCCTGATGGCGACCTCATTCGGCCTGTTAAACCCCAACCTCATACCCTGCGTATTCTTCATCGCCTTCATGGTTTCCTTGCAGTCCTTCAGATCGGGTTGCACGGGTAATGACGTCCTCTCTCTCGCTTCAGATCGAAAGAACTTTCTCCTATACTCGTCTTCCGGGTCTCTCATCTGCTGCTGCACCTCCTTCTGTATCTCAGCAGTCCCACCCATCAGATCGTATAAGAGTCGTCTGGCCGCTTCTGATTCTGCTCCTTGATATTGTTTCCATGGTTCATTCGCCAAACCTCCAGCGACACTCACCAGTATCTGTAGGCTGAGGTAGTGCCCAATTCTCCTCAGGCATCCCGTTGGGAACCTTATGAATCTCATCCTGGCGGCTGCAATCGAGGTCATGATTGGATGGGCATACATAGCCGTAAACGTACTCACATGATTCCCTGTAGCCTCCTCGATCGCCCGATCTCTATAGTTCATCACATCCATCATTGCGCGAGCAAGCTCCATATCCAGAATCATCGCGTGGGACGCGGCGTCTTCCAACTCCAGCCTGTAAACTCCCGGTTGCGACACCAATATTTCTGCCTCAGGGCTTGCGCCTGTTCGGAATGCCAACCACCAATCTTCCGCCGGATTCGCGCCCGATATTATGCCCGCTACAGCCCTTCTATCCGCTTCAGCGAGTCGGTCCGATATCAGTCTCCATTTCACGTCCTTATGAAGTTCCCGAATCTCCCTTTGCGGATTTTGCGGGAGCCAGGTTTAGCTTTGCGACCTTGGCCCTGTGTAGCGAGAATGCGAGGTTGCTGGTATCTTGCGTTAGGGGCTGGAGTGCGACGGGCTCTCCACAGACTCAGCCTAAACTCCAAAATGCAACACAGGAGCCGACATATACATATACACAATAGACACACACACACACATGTCCCCATATAATCCTCTATATATCACTTGAAGTAGAGATGGTCCGAAGTAGTACCGTTCTAGCGAAATAGACCCCTTCTTACTTTCAGGCCCTCAAGCCCCCCCTAAACCCTAAACCCTAGACCTTGTGCTGTGGAGGACCTGGACGGACTTCCTGACGTTGGCCGCTCGGGCTTCGTCTTTGGCGCCCTTGGAGTTCTCAGGTTCGAGGGCTTTTTCCAAAGAGCATAGAGCCCAATACCCCTTAATTTAAGGAACGTCCCGTAAATCATATTATAAGGATCCCTATATAAATGAAGCCATATTCCCGAATTACGGACATTGGGCTCTGTGGGTTAAGGTTCATATCATAGGGCCTACAGAGGTTAGAGGGTTAAAGGTCTCGAGGGAAGGGGGTCTGGCGGCATACTTGGGAGGTATGGGACGGAGAAGCTCAAATCTCGGTGCCCCCAACTCTTAAAACACGCGCGGAGCCCCAAGCGAGCTTATACTGCAAGGTCGGAAACCACAGGTTCGTGGCACGGGAGGGGCCTAATCTGGGTCATTGGCTGCCACTCTGGCAACAAAACGCGCGAAAACGGAGAGCTGGTACGAATCTTGAAACATTGTGCCGTGAGGCTTCACAGAACTGGCAGCGTTCGAGCTGGGTCTCCAGACTGGCCTCGGCACTGCGGCGAAATGGCGTCTGCTACAGGCATCCGACAAACTAGCAAAGTATGAGGCAATCAATCGGGAAGCGGAGGCATTTCACCTAACAACCCCGTCCAGGAGCAACACGTGCAGAACGCACGAGCTGCAGAAACCAGAATGCACGAGCTGCAGAAACACGAGTGAACGCTGCTTCTTGACAGCATCTCCCCGACCCATACTTAGTGTCAACGGCCCAGGTTTTTAAGGCTTGACGAAGTGGGCATGGGCCAGTCGCGGAGGAGCAGCTGCTGTGCCCACTGAGGGCTCCGCCCACAGACTTGGCCCGTGATGATCTTGCCTTGATATCTGCAAGCCATGCAATTCAGTGACCACGCCGATGCTTCCGAGAGCATCGAGCTGCTTAGCTACAGATCTCGCGCAGCAAAAAGGCTGGTCGTGAACTTGCGGCGTGGAGGCTTGCAAATGCTTTAAGGCGCTGACTTATGCTCGCACCTGGATGGGCTCAGCCACAAAGCATTGCTCAATGGCGCTTATCTACACAATTCCGGGCCTGAAGGTTTCAGTCATCCGGGCGGCTGCTTGCATTGAACACAAAACTTCTGCTAGATACCAGAGTTCCATCAAGCCAAGTCAGGCAGGGCAAATTGTCGGCACTGGCACATGCTTCGCGAGACAGAGAGCAGACACAGCGAGAGAGACGATGGAGCGAGAGAGGAGGGAGAGCAACAACGGAGGGAAAGGAAGGAGATCGAGAGAGGAGAGGGAACGAGAGAGAATGCACGTGCGATATGCTAGTCTGTTCAAGCGCGCGCAAATGGTAAGTCTTCACGCTGTCCATGTCGTGACGCCTCTTCGAAGCATGAAGCGCACACTCACTCATGTGGACTGATGTCGGTCCGTCGCACTTGCCCTCAAACACGTGACGCTGGGAGGGCGTGCGCACAAAACAAAGGCTCTTGGTCCGGAGGGACTCTCTTCCCTTCCTGTCCAGCACCCGAACGTCGAAATCGGTGCACA